GTGGGGGAGGGCGGTGCAGTGCGGAAGGGGTAAAGATTGAGTATATAACCAGTGGTTGAAAACATAGTTTCAGTGATCCGAATCCGACGCCAAACACAATCAATGGAGCCACTGGGGTGGGCTACGCCCCTGTGGTTGAAGGGCTATAGGGTCGGGGCAGCAGCGGCGGCGGATCGACAAAACACGAGCGCCCTCCGCCGCCCCGCGTCTGGCCGAGAACGCGAGCTGGGGCCGGGCCGCATCACCGGCGCTGCTGCCCCCACCCCTGCTGAGCACTGACACAGAAACCGACACTCACATTGACACTCTGTCACACACAGTGCGACCCAAACAACTGCACTGACACGGACCCCCCCATCTTCCCCGCCAGCCCCAGCCGCGCCCCACGCACCTCCCCGCCGACGCCAAAGCCGTAGAGCGTCTGAGCAGCCGCGCCGCGGCCGCGGCCACGATTTGAAATGGTGAGCAGAGGGGCGGGCGGAGGGGTGATGGCAGCCGTCAGGACGGAGGGCCCCAACAGACTGCTACGGGTGCACACCGGCGGGCGGCGCCCACCACAAGACGCAGGGGGAGCCTCGCGCTCTCGGCGGTGCTCGGCACGCTCCGAGCGGCACTCGGTGCGCGTGCGCGTGTGGCAGGGGCCCACGCGTCCATTGCGGCAGGCAGGGGTCGCACGACAGGCAGCCCTTGGTTTGGCAATGTTGTCTGTGTCCGTCATGTGCTCGTGCTCGGCTGCTAGGCGGGACACCCAACCCTGAACCGTGAAACCCTCAACCCTAAAACTTGAGCCTTGAAGCCCAGACCTGGGCAAACACGAAGAAGCGGAGGTAGCTCGCCCCGCCGGCCGCGAGGGGGGTGAAGACGAGGAGTGCGCTGCCGGCCAGCATGATCGCGGCGACAAGGCGGCTGGTGTGTGTTGTTTGGGGGGCGGGCCGGGCGTTTTCAAGGGGAGGGGCAGTGAGTGGGAGGGGATGATAAAGAAGGTGTGGGCGGGGCTGCTGCACGCGTGGATGACGGCTGAGGAGCCAGTGCTGCCATCATATTTGAAAGCCGGTTTAGGGGTATGTAGGGAGGGGGCGCACAGGGTCAGCGGGCCCGCAATGCGGGGCGTTGCGGGCGGGTCGAGGGGTTGCACCGTGTCGCATGTGGGCTGGGGCGGTGTGGCCGCGGGTATGGTGGCAGGAGGTGCGCGTTGCGCGCAGGGCGGAGGCGCAGGATGGAATGGGGCATGGCTGGGTAGGGGGCTGCAGACAAGCCCACCCCTGTCTGCCCAGCTACCATGACACAGCAGGCTGTCAAATCAAGCAGCCGCAGCCCGCCCACACAACAGCGGGCCCTTTTGACGGGCCGCGCCGCGGCGTGCTGCGAGCGCAGGCGGGCGGGCGGGCGCTCGCGGCGCCTGACGGGGGCCCACCTGCCCAGGCGGCGCCCGATGACGTCACCCAGCGCCCCGAAGACCAGCATGCCGACGATCAGCGCCCCAAACTGTGCGAACGTCATCACCCGCGTCTGCAGGTGCGGGAATTGAATGCGGACGTCATGGCGGCCGGCGGGGCTCGTCAGTGGGGGTTCAGTCGACGCCCTTCGGGATGTAGAGGGTCGAGCAAGGCGTGCTGCCCCCATCACAGCAAACTCAGCAGGCAGCAGGGCGACAGCAGCAGAGATGACTCGAGTAAGTGTGCCGCTGGCGCCGGCGCCGCACCTCGTTGAGGGTGCAGGCCTCAAAAGTTGTGAAGCAGTCGGGGAAGATGGCCTGCTGGAATGGCTTGATCAGGCCCGTGCTGGGATTTGGGGGTGGATGACGAGCGGATAAGTGTGTCGAAGACAGGGCAGGGGAGAGGCGCGGATTGACGAGCCTAGTGTTCGTGATGATAATGGTGGGCGCTGGCAGCAGCGGGGGCCGTTGCATCAGGACCAGTTGATGTGCGGCAATGCGACGGGTGTGCACATCCCTTGACTCATGTAGTGTGCGCGCTCAGGCGCTGGACACACAAGCACACCCACGCACCCAGGTACCCATGACACATTTGGACCCCCAGTCGAACCCACGCAGGCCCGCAAAAGCACGAGCCACTCGTGTCAGCCAAGGCCAGCCCCACCTGAAGATGATGTAGGCTGACAGCCCCAAATGATGCCACAGGCACGATTGAACATGTGCACACGATTGCAACGCAATGGTATGATATAGCATTAGCACGGCGCGGCCAGGCAAGGCCACCCGGCATGCGTGCCAGCACGAAGAGGGTCACGCGCCGCGACCGTGCGCCTGCAACCTGCTCGCGTGGTGCGCGGTTCCAGGCTTTGTTTCTCGTGCTCAAATGACTTACCCCCCCCCCCACCCCAACCC